AACCGGTCGGACTGATAGGCCTGGTCACTGACACAATCCCAGTGCCGCTGGAAGAGCTGCACCATCCCCTCCCAGGTAGGAGCTTTGGTCAGGGTCTTCAGATTCTTTCCTTGGAGAAGAATGGTAATATCCTGGAACTGCTGCTGCCCGGGCTGTTGGACAGTCTCCAGGATGCTGGCCCAGATCTGCGGCAGCATATCAGGCGGGAGAAAATAATATAGCTGCTGCTGCCGCGCCGTAGACTCGACCCGCTGCGTCCGGGGTTTGACTCCGTGGGCTGTCCCGTTCAGTCGGCTATGTTCAAAGCTGGAGGGATAATGCTGTACGAGAGACCCGTTGTGATGCCGATAGATCGCAGGCAGCAAGACCTGATCCATCTAGATCTGAAAGTCCTGGTCCCGGAGGCGGCTGGACTGCTGCTCCTTCCGGTAGAGCCGGGGAAACAGTAAGATAAGAGATATATCCTCAAACCCAGTCAGCCGCCCAAAGGTGTAGTGCGGGATCTCGTGGACGGCGCGAAGAGCCCGGTGGGATCGGCCCTGTGGATCCAGGTACTGCACGGGCAGGGGATCGAGGTGGAGACTGGACTGGAGATCAGACACAGCCATCTGGGTCGGGTTCCACCGTACTCCCTGCTTGGCCACGGCAAGGCTCGATGCAAACCCCACGATACTGTCAATATCAAAGGTCACCTCCGTTACCGTGTCGCTGTGATGATCGGTCGCGAGACAGACATGGACAGGCTCAGCATAGGATGGCTCTGCGGAGATACCACAATACACCTGTTGCCTCCGCTCACTACTGACCTGACGGGCAAGGTGGTCCTCCCTCCGCGCTATTATCGGGACCCGCAGAACATCCGGAAATCCGCCCTCGGTCAGTACCCGTTCCAGGTAGTCTTTCAGGCCCGAATAATCTGTATGCTGAGTGGAATGCTGAGTCTCCTGTTGGCGATGGCAGTGCACACAGCAGCCATGGTGGGTGTACAGTTGATCGGTCAGGGTCTGCCCAAGGGCCTGTACAGCTAGGAGGATCTCGGGAT